TTTGAGAAGGGCTCAGAGTAAAATAACTCGAGCTATCATGTTTGTGATTTAGTTTTTAAGATTTGTACACTTACTGTTAGGCTTATATTATAGCAGATCCAGTAAATAAATGAATTCTGTATAAAAAAAATTTTTTTTTGGTACAACGCAAATTGATTTTCGATCTCTAAAATTTACTAGAAATCAGTGTGGACCAAATGAATCACAAATCATTGCGAAGCAAAGTTGTTGCAGCAGTAATAATGGAGCATTCTTAAGCCTCCCTGGGTCACAACGATGCACTTCCTTGGATTTTATTCAAAGAGAATGGTATAAACTCTACAATAATGTTGAATTGAATTAATATGACCGGCTCTACAGAAAAAGAATTTTAAACACATTTCCGTATTGTAATCATCCCATTTGAAGTTCCCGTGTGTCGATCCCGGGTAATACGCGAAAAAACAATCCACAAGGAGAAGTAGGCAAGACAAAGCATCTTGGTGCTATCTTCACAGAAATGTCAGTTGGGCAGAGTAATGTCATTTAAGTGATTTTCCGAATGGTTGATGGCATGAGAATATACATTTTCGACAAAAATTAAAAAATTAGAAAACAACTTCGCTGAACTCAAACCCTTAGCACTGAAAATCCCTCGGCCATTAGCAGGCTGTTGTATGCCAATCCATTTATAGAAAAAAAATATCTATGCGCTTTTCACAAATCAGAAAAATAATTCAACAGAAAAGGCCCGAAGAGTCTCAATACTGTGCCTATTCCTTAGGGCATGAGTTATATGAATTAGTAACTTAGTGGATTAGTTTCTTAGAAAGGCAAACAGAACATGAATCCATCTCAATTAAAAACGAAATATCATAATCAGAGGATACGTTTTCTCCCCAAGATCAACCATGCACCCATTGATGAGCTATTCGGCTTGAAAGATAAGACTCATCATTTTCATATATAACAAATAGGGATAACATATGAACACCTATATAGAGAGCGCTTGTGGTTACAGATCCCGTGGTGCATGTTCTCAGAGCGGAAAATATTTTTTTTACAAATAAACGCGGATTCCAGTTTTTTGACTTTGTCGAAACTAATTGTGTATCTATTTTGAATCTGATTAAAGAGCGCAAGAAAATTAATTGAAAACGTCTGATAAATCAAAAAAAAAAAAACATAAATAAATAAAAGTACACGGTGAGTACCAAAAATAACCGAACTTTTTGGATATAAAATAAAATACCCACTATATTATCTTTGAAAGTTGTTATTTATTCAAAATAGGTTCCATTTGACTCAGCACAACGTTTGGAACAATCAACCAGTGCATGCATAGATTTTTGTATGTCATTTATAGAAATGTTCTTCAGTACCTCGGTTACGGCTGCTTGATTTCCCATCATCATAAAATTCTCCCTTCATCTTGGTTTTCAGTTTTGGAAAAAAAAATTGTCACATGGTGACAGATTAGGATGGTCGATGAGAGAAATACCTTTTTTCATTAAAAAATCAAGCGATTTTTTGGTCGTCATTTAATTCATGTGGAACAAATCGCGCACAGACCTTTCTTTTCCCCAAATCTTCAGTTAAAATACTCCAAATAGTGTTTTTACTCGTATTCAATTCCTCAGCCAACATTCTCGTAGTAAAATTTGCATCGATACCAATGATTTCGCGGACTTTCTCTACCAGTTCAGCACGATTACTAGTTTCTGGTCGTCCTGCTCTAGGGTCGTCATTTAATTCCATTTCCATTTTTAAGTTGTGTTAACCACGTATAAACTTGCGTACGGCTCATGCAATCATCACAATAAACTTCTTTCATTAATTTTTTTTCCAAGTTTGACAGAAAATTTTATATTTGCTCTTTGTTCCATTTTATTTTTGAACCATTAGCACGCTTTGGGTTTTATTGAAATGGCTGTCACTTTTACAGCTGTCATCCGACTTACATGAAGTTAGGTGCGTTTGAAAGAAGATGAATGTATCTTTTTAATGTTGTTGTTGTAGAAATCGTGATCCAAATCGAAGTTAAGAATGAAATGTTGCGCTATAAGATAAAACAAAAAAAAATATTTTTTGAACCTGCCTCCTCCTTAGGCTAAACCGTCACCCAGGCACGGTTAAAAGGATTCTACCTATTAATACCTTTCACAACGAGTTTACCGAAAAAGCCATAATTTTTTCGCATTCCCACTGACTTAATTATTTGGGAATAGTTGTTGTTGTTGTAGCGACGTCGTTAACCACGCTAAGTCACCGAATACATTTAACGGGTGGTGCAGGATCGAACCAGAGGGGAGGGGGTTAGATGCGTCGCTTTTAGGGAGCCTGTGAAGAAGTGGGGTCAAGTATGGATAAGTAGAAGTTTAACCTGCTACAATATCCATACCAAAGTTGGGCTAGTGTCACGCTGTGGAAGTGCAGGCTGTCGAGTGTGACTCCCAATATCTTTGGGCTATTTGTGGTCAGTTATTATGCTCGGTAGCCGTGGATTTAGTCTATTTTGAATCTAATGAATTTAAAGCTGCCTTGCAGTGAAGAAGTTGGACAGGTCGGCGAGATAGCAGTTCAGTTTCGAACATCCAATATCGTGCAATCATCGGCTTATGAGGTTAAGGAAACTCCTTCTGGTGGAGGAATTTCCCTTAGTTTCGATGATTCACCTTGAAATACTACCAATGATTGACAAACACTGCGGTAGCCCATGATCCATTTGTGCAAACCCCGGCGGTAATTAGGATTCCTCAATGTCCAATAATAGCACTGAAATGATTGACGGTGTCAAATGCTTTTCACAGTTCGCACGCAGGGTCTGTTTTGGTTAAGAACATTGACGATCTGAGCGTTTATGGCGTCATGTGATACTGGACTTAAAAGGTGAGTGAATGTCGGGAGCAATGGATTTGGAGGATTTCGCCTCCCTGGTGACCCCCTGAACTTCTCCATCTTCCATGGATAAATCAAGCGCTGCGCGTATGTTTGGCAGTTTGCGCAGGCGGCGCGCCGCGGCGGGTTGCTCGTCGCTTCATATTTCTAACGAAGGATGCAATGTGAAGAGTTGGCTAAAATATTTCGCGCATCTCTTCGGAAACAAAGTCGGAAGGTCTGTCAATCCAGATTTGTATGAGTAAGTAGTCTAATACTAGTGTTAGTATATGTCGCCAGGCTATACTGTTTGTCAGACCATCACTTAATACCCACAGTTCTGGGTCCTCTACGGTCATTTAACAGGCTAGAATGCGAAAGTCATGATGCGCGTTAATGCCGCCCAAAAACACACGGCTTACGCCTCTAAGTAGCGCATCTATATCACAGCTATATCTTACTGGGCAACTTCTAAAAGGTATATGATATATATATATGACATGCCCTGACATTCTAGGGTATCCCTGCGGTGGATGTCACCATCGATAAGAAGATACTGCCCGGTGTTGTGTAGGATGTATGCAAAGCAACCACCATGGTTTCGCTCGCAATCCTTGCGGATAATATTGTATCCGGCCCGGCTCAGAAGATCCGAGCGGGCGGTCAATTTCAATTCACACGTGGGAGCTCATATAATGAGCTATCTCGTCGATCTTACCTGGAGTCCATTGCAGTTGAATTATAACAGTCGTGTCAGTCTCGTTCACACGTTCGAAAATGGCACTAGCTAGAGCACGAGTTGATTTTGACTGAGGTCGGGTTCCGACGCACTATGTTCTGGCACACGGAACAGACTATGCGGGGGACTAGAAGCTGCTGAGTAGTACTCGCACGGGAGGAGGGAGCTGGTTGTGGATAAGGCTTGGTATTGGTGGAAGTCATGCTGCGGGCACCCGTTGACACCGTAGAGGTCTGTTGGTTACCTAAAATGGTAACGGTGCTGAAGGCACTGCCGTGGAGGCTTAGGTCGCACTTGGGCGCTAACAGCGTGAGACCACGTAACTTGTGGACCTCTCCCTATGGGCCTTAAGTGCTGATCAGACCTTAAGATGACTCCAACCATTGCACAGGTAACATCTAACCGAGGTGGAGGAGTGGTGAAGTCGATTATGGCATACGCAGCAGAAATAATCCGTCGGATCAGGGTTGGCTTCGATGCCAGCCCTGATTGTGTTTGGAGGTGTTGCTCCATTGTTGCACTAAAATGAATGTTATCTGTCTATGTCAGATCGTTCCTAGACATATCTACATCAGGTGACGTTTGGAAACTTTTGAGCTACCACATAAGGTTTGTTTAAATTTTAAATAATTAACGGTCGACCACTTAGTTAGTTCATAGTCCATATCTTCAACCGAGTCTGTATTATGGATTCCTTAATGTTCGATAGTAGCAATGTAAAAGGCAACCTGGACAGTTCGTGAGCAGGAGCAAAGTGCTACACAGGTGCTTATGACTTGCACTCAGATAGTTAGTATAAGACGAGAGCAACAAGGCCTCGATTGTCTTCGCAAAGAATAGCTATCGGCCAATATGAGGCCACCTCGATATCATACTGCAGTTTTAGCAGCGGTACCACTACCGAGTTTCCACATATCGGATGTAGTCAAAAACAGGTTGAAAGCCTTGGTGAGGAAGTCTGCTCTTGCTGGACACGGATGTTTTAGCTTCAGCGTGCATTTTCCATCGGGCCAATACTTTGGAACCGCGCCGGTATTTGGCTTTTAATTTAGTGTTATTAATTTAATATTCCCAAGCGAAGGATATAGTCTTAAAACCAAAAAAAAATAGCTTGCGAACTTCTCCGGAAGGCTAGACCGCCTATTGAAATTTCCAGCAGGTCATTACGTTTCGTTGGATTTAGCTGTGGAAAAAGTTAGTTGAACCATAGGAGAGATTTTAGAAGTGACCCTCCCACATTTTGACAGATTCTTTCCGTAGTTGCAATGCTTTTATATAAAAAAGGTATCACAAATGGAAAAGTAATTTTGAATTAAAAAAAGATGTTTCGTTTCCTGATATTGCCCATCATTAACGTCGATTGAGTCTTGTCACTATTGCTTGCGCTAATAAATGCTGATTGATATTTCTTTTAAATAATGTTTAATTGATAAATATAAAAAATCAATTTTCCAAAAACGAAACGAAATCGGTAAGTTTTAATAACAGATCTTCAGAACTAGCTGTCAGTTCGGATTCAGAAACAGGCCTTTTAGGAATAATAACTGTCTGTTGGTCTTCATTTTCATATTTCCAGTCCAGCGCAAGGCAAGTTTGTTTTAATTCATCTCGAGATAAGTTAGTCAGTTCCATCAGCTCTTGTTCAAAAATAGACATATAAGCTTGGCCAACTAATGCCAATACATCACGTCGCACTCGCTCTAAAATGTAAAAATTATAATTTTGGTCAAAATTAAATCTGGTGTTAAAAATAATTATTTTTACCGAAAAGATCGTCCATAATTTGTTTGATATTGGATGGCCATGGGTAGTCCACTTGTTTGAAAAATTTCGTAGCACTATTAGTAATTAGCGTGCACATTACTGAATTCAATCTTTTTAATTCCTTATTATCATTTTTCAAAGGTTGTGGGATCCGCTTCCATAGGAACTTAGCATCAGCTCTAAAAAGTATATATTTTTACAAAATATGTGTTTAAAATATTAATGAAGCAATTACATTTTATCTTGATAAAGGTAAATCGCCAGTAGTTGAGTATACGCTTCCGCTTCTATGTTTGTCTGTGGAAACAAATTGTTAATACGATAGTTAGAAGAATTGTTTACCACGGCTTTTTTTATTGTGACAATATATAATGTTATAAAGATGTGTTTTGTTTAAATAGCTTTTGACATATGTTTTATTTAAAATAAGTTGCTTATCTCAATGTAATATTTATGATCTCATACTAAAAGTTAAGTAACTTGAATGTAAGCTAAGAATGATTTCCAAGACAATCGTTGAATATAAACATTTGGTTTAGCTATTCAACTAATTTCTTTTTATTTTTAATTGGTTTTTGCCAGCAGTGAGTGACAACATGTATATGAATTGCTCTAGTCAATCTCGCACCCTTACCAGAATCTTATCTCTTAATACTAAATACGTACACTCAACTCTTCTAATTCTATCTTTTGCATTAAATCATTATATTTGAAGTTCTGCATTTTATAAACTACCAATTATCAATATTATCAAATTAGTGAACAAATGCGAAAAATAACAAATAAACGCTAGAAATTGCTACAAGTCATCGATTACCCAATATGGTTGATAGCCTTACCCACGGCTCCACAGGCAATCACTAATGCGTTGATATACATCTCGCGACATAAATTGCTAATAGCTTGCAATCAACTGTCCTTATTTATTTACGCGATAAATAATGATAAACGTGTATAAGCAGAGATGCTAAACTAACAAAACGCTCTCATTCCGTAAGTAAACTTTCGAACAAATTTTGTTTAATTTCGGCGCTATATTATCGAATCAAACTGAATTTATTATTGTTTAAACCTTGTAAACAAACTAATCGTTAACGTTAATTTAAAATACACACCTCAATTTCAACATTTAACATTCTCCGTAATATTAGATATAAAGCAATGAAATAGATTGAAATTTTTTTTATTAACGTGAAATCTCGTTACAATGCAACCTTGATATGAAGTAATTGAATAAGTGAAAACTGTTCTACTTTATATATCAAATTAACGTCGCAGCAAAATTCGGCGATAAGCCGCCTCGATATTCAAAAATATTTCGAATAACGGCTTTATGTACAAAAGTAGGTTATGTATTGTCGAGGCAGTCACAAAGAGCCGATTGGTTGCCACTGCTTGAACCCACCAGCTTTCAAAACTTTTCCTAATGCGGCCAACCCTTGAAATAAAGAAGTTCTGTAAGAAAAAGTGTTTTTTAATGATATTACATTCATTTTATAGAAACATATTTTATTTGGAATAACTTTAGTATAGAGCCTGTGGTTTATTTTTCTGAAAAAGTAATTGCGCGCAAATATATAGTTTAAAAGTAATCAACATTTAAAGTTACACTTTTTATATGTAGGGAACATATTGTATTTTACTTATAAAAACACTAACAAAACTTGGCTTAGGAGGCGCTGTCACTCCAAATAATCCACAAATCCACAATATATATGCAGAAAAATAAAATCAGAAAACAAATGCCGCCACTCAAATAAAAAATAACTTACACCAACACCGACTTCACCTTGCACAATATTCTTAAGTGAAACTCCTTTGTAAGTTGGAGGCCTTCGGCCGCGTTTTGGATAATAACCCTGCGCCGGACCAACACCTGCTTCTCCTTCCACTGTATTCTTTAGAGAAACTTCTTTGTAAGTTGGAAGCCTTCGGCCGCGTTTTGGATAATAACCTTCGGTCGGACCAACACCTGCTTCGCCATGCATAGTATTATTTAGTGAAACTCCTTTGTAAGTTGGCGATCTTTAACCGCGTTTTGGATAATAAGCCTGGGCCGTAGAAACACCTGGTTCGCCTTGCACAGAATTCTTAATTGAAACACCATTATAAGTTGGCGACTTTCGGCTGCGTTTTGGATGATAACCCTAGGCTTGACTAACACCTGCTTCGCCCTGCATAGTGTTCTCAAGTGAAACTCCTTTGTAAATTTGCGGCTTTCGACCGCATTTTGGATTGTAAACCTGAGCCGGACCAGCCCCGGCCTCGCCTTGCTCAGTATTCTTAAGTGAAACTCTAATGTTTACACATCTTTTATGTGAAATTCTCTTTTTATTTTGCTTAGATATTGTTATTAAATTTTAGAATATTTTACGCTACGCCTGCCTAGCCAAGTGTCGTTAGTGTGCTTACATGTAAAACAAAAGCAGGCTCTCTGCGTATAAAAAGTGTAACTTTAAATGTTTATAATTTTCAAACTATAAATTTGCGCTCGTAAAATTAATATATCTGTTACTTGCAGACCTTCTACTACTAATCCTGAGCATTCATAAAAAATCCCAGGTTCCAAACTAAAGTCAACCCATTTATTAAACTATGCAAGTATAATAAAAGAATATAAATGTATTTGCAAAAAGCTGACACTTATTTTCACACAAAATCTTTCTAATTTTTATTTTTATTATTGAAACCAAATATCCGTGATCGATATATTCGCGAAGTGTTCAGTTTCGGTCAAGATTTTCAAGACTGCACAAATTATGAAGCCTATAGCATGTGTTCTTCAAAAGTAGCTTATCGATAACACTTATGAATTCTCATCTCTATATACATGCATTCGGAACTTGGTCCTCCTTCGGGTTTTATATCAATCGTAATACAGTAAGATTTTATTCTAAGAAAATTAGTGGTTGAGTTTGTGCATAATAAATAAAGTTGTCTTAAAACTAATGTATAAGTTGTTTTAGGTGTACCAGGAAATATTGCATTGTATAATACATTAAGTGATTGGCTGTAGTACAATTTAATCTAACCAAACATACTCTAAATTTGCATAAAATGGCATCAAGCGACAAATCTGTCGATGACTCCCTATACCCGATCGCTGTACTAATCGATGAATTGAAGAATGAGGATGTGCAGGTTTGAGAAATGCTGTAATTGTCTTATTGGTAATGTACAAAAAGTTCTTAATTTATAGTTGCGATTGAACTCTATTAAAAAATTGTCGACAATCGCTCTTGCACTGGGTGAAGAGCGAACACGATCAGAGTTGATTCCTTTTTTGACCGAAACAATTTATGACGAAGACGAAGTTCTCTTGGCGTTGGCTGACCAACTCGGCAATTTTACAAGTAATAGTATTATTAAATTGTCTCTAATATATGTAAATAAAAATACAATATTTTCAGGCTTGGTCGGGGGGCCAGAATACGCAATGTATTTGATACCTCCTTTGGAGAGCTTAGCTACAGTTGAAGAAACTGTTGTTCGCGACAAGGCAGTAGAATCTTTGCGCACGGTTGCTGCAGAGCATAGTGCTCAAGATTTAGAAATTCATGTTGTACCAACACTGCAACGCTTGGTATCTGGGGACTGGTTTACTTCACGTACGTCGGCCTGTGGCCTTTTTTCAGTTTGCTATCCAAGAGTTACTCAGCCTGTGAAAGCTGAATTGCGTGCAAACTTCCGTAAGCTGTGTCAGGATGAGACACCAATGGTACGCCGTGCTGCTGCTAGCAAATTGGGTGAATTCGCTAAAGTCGTGGAAATTGAATATTTAAAATCAGATTTGATCCCAAATTTTGTGCAATTAGCTCAGGATGACCAGGTTAGTTACTGTTTTTGAGTGAAATATATCAAAGCTTAATATATTGTCTGATGTATCAGGATTCGGTACGTTTGTTGGCTGTGGAAGCATGTGTAAGCATTGCCCAGTTGCTACCTCAGGAGGATGTTGAACATGTAAATAAAAGAAGACTTCGAATTGTAAGCCATTTTTCTAATGAACCATTTTTTTTACAGCTGGTATTACCAACTCTACGCCAGTGCGCTAGTGATTCATCTTGGCGTGTTCGATATATGGTTGCTGAAAAATTTGTTGATTTGCAAAAGGCAGTTGGTCCTGAAATAACACGAGTTGACTTGGTGCCCGCTTTTCAGGTTGGTAGTTATAATTAACAAAATGCAAAAAGAAGGCACATAATTTTTTTTTTATATGAGCGCTATTTTCTGCAATTTAATTTATTAAATAAAAGCAGGTTTTGTGAGTTATAAACAAATTTCCTAGTTGTAGTGGTATTGTTTAAAACGGAGAAATCTAAAAACTACACACAGTGAGTGAATTTAGTTATACACTTGAGCTCGAACTCTTTAAATTTTAACGATTTGAATTATTTGTAACATACATATTTATAATGAAAAAATGTAATTGGTTTGCCAATAGTATATAGTTGGATAACGGTATTTGATCTTAAAAAGTGAAAGATTCTATAGAAAACAAATCATCAACATTCTTTGCAATTACACATACAGATATTATTTTATAATTCTACTCTTCAATTTATTTCACAGTATTTGTTGAAGGATGCCGAAGCTGAAGTGCGTGCAGCGGTTGCAACAAAAGTAAAAGACTTTTGCGCAAATTTAGACAAAACTAATCAAGTACAGATTATTATGACTTCAATATTGCCATACGTACGTGACTTAGTATCAGATCCCAACCCCCATGTCAAATCCGCACTGGCATCAGTAATTATGGGCTTAAGTCCCATGTTGGGTGCATACAATACAGTTGAACATCTTTTACCCTTATTCCTCATACAATTAAAAGATGAATGCCCCGAAGTGCGATTAAATATAATATCTAATTTGGATTGTGTTAACGATGTCATTGGTATACAGCAACTCTCACAGGTAACAAAGATTGGTGTAAATTAGATTCCTAACTCTAATCGAATTTTGATTCTTAAATATTTACTCTTAGTCACTATTGCCAGCTATTGTTGAACTAGCAGAAGATTCAAAATGGCGTGTTCGATTGGCAATTATTGAATATATGCCTGCACTAGCCGGTCAATTGGGTCAAGAATTCTTCGATCAAAAGCTTCGTGGTTTATGTATGGGTTGGTTAAACGATCATGTATATGCTATACGTGAAGCAGCCACTTTGAATATGAAAAAATTAGTTGAACAGTTTGGCGCTCAATGGGCTGAACAAGCTATTATTCCTATGATTTTGGTCATGTCGCGTAATAAAAATTATTTACATCGTAAGTATTTAGTATTGTAATTTGTTATTATTTATTAATAATATATCTTTCGATAGGTATGACGTGTCTCTTCTGTTTAAATATGCTTGCTGAAGTTTGTGGTACAGATATCACCACGAAATTACTTCTACCCACAGTACTTTTATTGGCAGCAGATCCTGTAGCAAATGTTCGCTTTAATGTTGCTAAAACTCTACAGAAAATTTCACCATTTCTCGAAGCTAGTGTCATCGATTCCCAAGTCAAACCGACACTTGAGAAATTAAATGCTGATCCCGATGTAGACGTAAAGCACTTTGCATCCGAGGCCATTGCGGGTATTGCTGCAGGTAAAAGCATATGCAAAAAGAGATAATAATTAAGTTATTAATCATTTTTTTTATAATGTCCAGAAATGGAGTTAGATATATTTAGGAGTGTTATCCCACCAGTAGAGGGAAAGGTGAATTCTGCGGCTTTAATGGCTAAATTGGCCGTTCACCCTCCAACAGAAAATGTCGAAGAGGAGGAAGATGCATTTAAATGTTAGTGCATCGAAATTCAGTTATAAATCTATGTCATCCCTATCTCCATTTGCCTTCAGTTAAATGGATAGTCACATTTTGTTTGTTGAAATCAATGTCCTATTTGTTGTCTGTGTTTTTTGCGAATCCTACACCATACATACATATATGCTAATAACTTTATTATTATTGTTAAAAGGTATGTTTTCGTCTAGATTTTAATTGGTTTTCCTATTAACGAATGATGTCGATAAAGCTAAAGTGCGTTTGTTGTTTGGTTGATATATTCAGCAATAAGGTTATTGAAAAATATTGTTTGGCAAACATTTAATAGCATTTCGATGTATTTTAGGACATTCTGTACTACCATAGCTGCGTGATTGAAATAATCCATCATACATGACGATTTGTTAAATTGCAGTTGTATGTCCAAATTTTGTTGAAACTATTGAGTGATACTTGAGAGGTTATAAATAACATTTAAACGATTCACAAACATAATTTCAAAAAAAAAAAAAACCGAAGCGAATGAAAAGTTTTTACATGCTTACAAAAGGTAGAATTGTGAAAAATTGTCTATTGATCTCTAATATATTTAGTTGAAATCTTATGTAGAGAGTGTAGCGTTTGCTATATAATTCATATTCGGCCTTGTGCTGAATATCGTCATCATCAGTGAAAATGACGAAACGGTAACATTGGTATGCCGTTCAACGCCATGGTCAGCAGTATCTTCAGACGACGCTGTTGCGGTATGCTCAGCGTTATCCTGTCGTTTCTTATCGTCAGACCTTTTACTGACGATCCTTCAACTTAACAGACGATACAGAAATTAAAGGGACTAAGGACAAGCGCTCAATTTGATACTCTTGTGACAGAATTGGAAAATAAGCCACATTTTTCGTTTCCAAAAAGGAATTATCCAACACAATTTAAAAGAAGAGTTATTGTCACAAAAATTAATGCGATAGGACCATCTGTACCTGATGGCGATTGGTGGTAAAAACCACCATTTTAGCTACATATATTATTTTCAAATTTAAATGAAGAAAAAAATGATAAGTCGCAAGAAAGAGTCAAGAGCAGCCGGCGGAGGGGTTACAAGCAGATGGTATTGGCTCCTCTTGAAGAATCTGTTGCAATAGATTTGATGGGATTCGAAGAGCTGGTGCTATATATGGTGTGAATGATGATAACAATGAACCGCAGCGCACCATTAGCAGGAGCAATGCGCCAACAGATTTAGAGAGAGCTCCTGAAATGTCAAACGAGAAATCTTGTCAAGTAGATGTTGCATCAATAGATGGTGCTTGGGATTGAAAAGAACAACTATGTATAATTCATTTTTTTTTTTTTACATCTTTTGTTGATTTAATCAAATTTCAGAGATATCCGATTCCATTATCAAAGATATACAAATAAACTGAAAACCCACAATTTCACAAAAATATTTCCCGAAACAAAAAATTTCCTATGCACAGGGTTTTCGCGTTTTCTCAATTCACATCATTTCGAATATTAAAGATATACAAATAAACTGAAAACCCCATAATTTCACAAATATATTTCCCAAAACAGAAGATTTCCCATTCACTGGGTTTGCGCGTTTTCTTAATTCTCGTCTGCATTTCATGTATATAATACCTGAACAAAGACGAAGTGATGAAAGTGACGTAGACGATATTCAGCATAAGGACGATTAATTTATAATAGATATATCTGAGTGCTTGTAATAAAGTTAGAAAACTAGATATCCGCTTCAGTATATATAAGAAGGACATTTTCATACATACATATGTGTTGTGCAGTAATTTCCATCCAATTCAGATCACTGATAACAAGATTTATAGTATGTTTTACATTTTATGTCTAGTCTTGTACGTTTTCGTAAGTTGTTACTTTAATGTTGTTTGTTTCCTCTTATCTATTTGCAGCGTAATCACTTAAATTTCATCATTTTCATTTCAAACTTTTTATCATTTTTTAATCTAGCTGAAGTAAAAAATGGCAAGGATTAAATAATAATGGCTCAAAATGATCTTTAAAAATTTATATCAACAACATCAAGCCTGAATACTTTCAGTGTCGTTCTAATGAATGTTTGCAGATTATTATTACTGGGCGAAGCAAATGATAAAATTACAACATAATTAAACATTACATACAATTACGAAAAATAAAAAAAAAATATATAAAACGGATTGCATACAATCTCTATTATTTATATTATAAACTTGAAACTAGATTTCAATTGTAAGGAGTAGTTCACTCAATTGCATATATAATAGTAATAATAATAATAATAATAATAATACAAATACAAAATAAAACTAATTATACCTTGATGTTACTTATTTTATGTATTATTTCACAATCAAATAAAGCTTATAATCCCTTACACAGCATCCGAATATTTAGATGAAAATATTTACCGTTTACATATACATATGTAGTTGTTATACTTTTATTTTAAGTCGACCGCCATTGGTTTTAAAGAGCTTAACTCTAAAACGAAAAGGTAATAGTTTTACAAAAAATGGTTTTCACTATTTTGAATTGAAATTTAGAGTAACTATTCAAAGTGTCAATAAAAAATTATAATGTATATATAATTCAAGGGGACATTTGTATGGCCGATAAACGTAAAATTACTATCTCGTTCATCGAGTAGCCCACCAAAGTTTACCCCAGCTGCAAGAGATTTTTGTAAGAAGATGCAAATCATAAAGATGATCGTATAAAAAGGACAACTTTGCAAAGACTGATCAAATAGATTATGTGGACAGTACAAATAATGCACTTGCAGCTGGCCTATTTACGGTCTGAATATTGTAGACGATTAAACTCCGATGTATCTAGATTTTACACCTCATTCCTTAACGTATGTCCGCACAACACTAACCACCTCTTTACATGCCCGTTTAAAACAGCCTTTTAGATGATGTCGACGAATTAGACTTGTATTGCCTGCTTCTAAACGGCTTTCTAGCCGCTATAGTAACAACAACAATGCAAAACTACACTTGATCGATATTGATTACCAGTGCGGTCCGAACAAGCCGGAAATGAGTTGTATTCATTGCTAGTCTGATGAATGCACTGCTACCTATGATAATTCTCACGTCACAATATTGTTGTTTCGATTGATAAACCTTCAGTGTTTTCATAGGTAACCACATCGTAAAAAAAAACACAATTATGAATGAAAAAAAAACGAGCAACAATCACACATGCCGCTCTTGAGTGAAATGGCGGAAGGCGTTGATGGCTACAAATAGAACATGGAAAACATTTGAAGTTAGGCTAAGTTCTTTATTAACACAATTCAAAACACACCAATAATAACAGTAAAAAATACTGCCGTAAAATGGTCACAGATGGTAGTTCCACTTGAATTAGAGTATACGATCAAAATGTGAAGAGCACTAGAAAATATGCAGCCTCTTCTCTGGTACAATCAAGGTCAACCGCAAAGTCCTTACCTAGCTAGGCGATCTCTCTCTTATCCTATACTAATAAGTGTGGAAGTTGTTTTTAGCAGATTTTCGCTACATAGACAATTAATTTAACATACTGATGCTCTAACCCTTAAGACTTAACAAAGTGGCAGCAGAATATTTGCTTAAAGTGCTTCATTTGTCACTGAATTATACACGACGAAACGGAACAGGAACCAAACATGGAAATCTTTCTAACCAAAATTGTAGTTTTGACCAAATTCTTATGCGTGACTTATCGAAAGGTGTCGAGGCTGAATTGCTCTACCGATATGTGGCGATCAGAATTATTTACACACCCAATTAGCTGTTAAGAGCTGTTGGTAAATTCCTTGACCCCCTTTCAAGCTATAAAAAGAACCTGTCAAGAAGTAGATTTTGATATATATATTTTTTTATAATCTACCAATCTACTCACGTTGCATGCCTTACTTGTCATAGCAAAGAAGGTTTGTATGGCTGAAAGGCTGACAGCCCCTTGTAACTTGTAACCAAATACTCCGAGACAACTCTACTACAAAAACCCAAGACAGCAGTCGCTTGTTTCGAAAAAAATGTCCACAGAGAATACATCCAATATATCAAGGTCCAACCAATCAGGGTAAACCAAATCCAATCTGCAAAATGAAGAATGACTTTACAAATCTAGATGAACTTTTTAGCATAAAGCTTTTAGAATGTTACGAAGATAGGATGCTAATACTCTGGATAGTAGTTATTTCATGCAGTATTGATCACTAAACATCATCATGCAATTCTTATTACAGTCGGTTCTACGCACCGGAGTTGACCCGGATTTTACCCGGCAAAGGGATCACACCCCGGTTAGGTTAGCAGGTAGTCTAAGGTTACCAATGGTGCAACACCTTGCAGCTGCTCCAAATAATCATCATCCTCAACGTCCGACGGATTATTTCTGCTGTGTGTCTAAGCTTGTTGTGTAGGAGGGAAGGGCTGTTTAGGAGTAGGGAAGGTGATGTTCAATAATACCCTTAAGTGTATTCATAGAGCCGTTTGGATCTTAAAGGAGTTGGAGTATGAATTCCATAGGAAAAAATTAGAGGTGGTGCGGGGTGATCATTCCTCTTTACACACTATGCATTTATTGGATGGAGCTCAGGGGTGAGCTCCGGGTGAGAAATAGTGAAGAATAGAGAGCCATTCACTTTGTTGCTTTGGGAATATATTGACCGCTCTGGCTCTTCAAAATTTGTGGAATTCCGGGTGCTGGTAAACATCTAACCATGCCTTAATGGAAAGCTAGTATGTATCAGTCACCCTGAGCTTAGCTTCTAATAGACATTATAAGTTTATTGCTTCTTGTTCACATGTACACATATATGCATAAGTACCCCAAAATAACAGGAAGCAAAAACTAATACCTAAAAGTATGCAGGGGAAATTGGGCACCAGCATGTGCCACTAAGACTCCACCATTCCTCCAACTCGGTAAGATATAACCAATGCAATGCGTGGAGCCATCTTAAGGTCAGCTCAGCCCTGAAGATACACAGGGAGTGGGTCACAAGCGCTAAAATGCCCTTCCAGCCTCCATGAAAGTGTCTTCAGAACCTTATTTAGTAGAGGGGTACGTTGCGTACGTGTACAATGCGGTAGGAGCCGGCACCACCAACAAAGTGCGGCATCCAATCCAGCGGATATTACAGCAACAACATAATACACCCACTCGTCACTCCCTCACCTCTCGCATAACGAATGTTCCACCGAGACAGGCATGACTGCTACAATTTAACTCCAACGGACTCCAGAGTAAGATCGAAGATATGGTCTATATGAGCTGCGAGCACGTGAACCATGAGCGATAACACCCCTACCAGAGTTGTGGATAATTGCGAAAGCAAAAGTAGAATGAGCAGTTAAGATCTTGCCATCTCTCAGCGAGCCATTTTAGCTGATTTTTTACACTAAAACTTTCAGTTTGCAAAAAGAAGCGACGAGTAACCCGCCGCTGGCGCAACGCTTGATTTCTCCAGGGGGGAGGTCATCGGGAAGACGAAAACGTTCAAATCCATCGGCCATGATGGAATGCTGCAACTACCCAACTCACGTACCTTTCATCCATAGCAACCTCTCTTATGAAAGCGCCATGTAAACACAAAGTTGTCACCGCTTGCCCATGCCGTTAGTGACGGTTGTGCCGCAGAAACCAGCGGCGATTTGATTTTTTCCGTACAACCGGTTCGGCTCAAAGTGTGCAAACACACTAGCAGCTGGCAACATTTCGCCGCTCTCAGCAGCGTCGATAACTTGTGTATGTATCTCGCCCACGACGCCTGTCATGGACGGATGGTAAGTAAAATGGGTAATTGCAACAGAATGAACATGCTGATGCTGAAAGATCTGAGACTAGTGGGAGCAGACTTTCTTACCAAGATCCTCAATCTGTCTTTGACCATCCGATGTGTAGAAAATGGGTAGGGTGGTCTCGCTACTCAAGCCAGGAAAACCATCCACCAAAGTAGAGTCATATCGGCCGATATCCGCAGAGTGGTGTCTTCTCCCCATTATTGTTCAGCTTAATATTTCAAAGCTGCCCCCTCCACCAGAAGGGGTTGCCCTGACCAGATATGCCGATTATTGTTTGAAATTGGCATCTGGCCAGGATATTGATGATCTTTGTTCGAAAGTTACGGCTATCCCAACGATCTATCAGACTTCTTCACTGCACGACAACTTAAAATACAACCGACCAAATTCTCGACTACCCTTTTCACAAGCGTACGAGTGAATACAAAAAATTCCGACCATAAATAACACAAAAATATTGGGAGACACATCGACATGCACTTCTTCACTCCGCATACGACCGCAATTGCCGCAAAACTCCAGAGCCGCAAAGTGAACTACTGAATTAGTAGTGCCGGAACTTCGGGGTATTTGATTCCGGTCATTTTGTATGCGGACGTCTGACTCGTGGTGTAGTCCGTTGTTATGACCTCCAGGGTTCAGGTAAAGTGTGGGGTTGTCCTTTTCCTGTAATTAGAGAATTGGAGTCATTCTGCAGTGAAAAGTACTCTTCTCTAACTTAATTTTTTTTTGGGTGTGCCGAGAGTTTCAAGCACTGATAAGATTTTGTGATTGTGGAATACAAATCAACAAACTCTTCACTAGTTTCTTTTCGAGCTTTGGGTAAGTTCAATAATTTTATGACCTGATTGTTGTCTATTTGGTGTTTGTTTTGTTTAAATATATCTCCTGCGTGGCCCCTTGTCTTATACCGGGAATGGTATAACCTTTGAGCTGGAGGTGGCAGGTATGGTTTATATATACGGCAGTGAACATGTCTCGGAAAGACGGTCACTCATCATATCCACCATAAAATGTTTCAGTGCCACATGGCCGAAGTTAAGTTCTATTCGATAACTAGACATTGGTTGATGCACTGCACTAATTAACTTCAGTTGCTCCGCAATTTTTGCTTTAAATTCATACTCTCCTTCCGCCAGCGCAAGAAAATTCGCGGGGAGGTCTTCATTGTCTTTTTGGAATAAGACACCGAATGCATCTTGAACACCTTTATATCAATCGTCAAGATAATTATTTTTCATTTTCAGGTGAGTTTCTGAAAATACTTCTATGGGGGAAGCGGTAAATCTGGCACAATATCTTATTAAGCCAGTATTTGTGGCATCAAATTTGGCTGTTTATGAATCTTACATTCCTTTTATTTCTTTGGTAATAGTCCAATGGAGGGAGCACTTCTCTAGCCTGCTGAATGGCAGTGGAAAAGGTGTACCCGAGTGGTTGAACCCGAAACCCCAACCGATGACGATGGAAAGGACGTTCCATTACCTGGTCATGAAGAAGTTTTAATAACGATCGCCCGCTTAAACATCAACAAAGTGGCCGGGGCTGACAGCCTACCGGCATAACTGTTCAAGCCTGGGGGTATGGTCGGACGAAAGCATGCACGACGATTGGAAAAGAGCACCCCAAAGTCTAAGCCAATTATCGTAGGATAAGCCTACTTAATATCGCATATAAGGTCCTGCCGAACGTATTGCATGAAAGACTATAGCCCAGCGTCAACAAACTTATTGGACCTTATCAGTGTGGCTTTAGACCTGGTAAGTCAACCATTGACCAGATATTCACCATGCGCCAGTCTTTGAAATGGCCTGTGAAAAGAGGATCGACACATACCACCTTTTCGTTCGTTCGATACCAAACAAGGTTTTAGACAGTGTGATTCCTTATCGTGTGTCTTTTTTAAATTATTACTGGAGAAAATAATACGAGCTGCAGAGATGTATAAAGAAGTGTACAGCTGCTGGCGTAGGCCGATGATATTGACCTTATTGGCTTCAACAACCGCGCAATAAGTTCTGCAATTGAAAAGTAAAGTTCTCTCCCGACGAACGAAAACCAAACTCTACAAGTGCTTCATCGTTCCCGTCTTATCGCATGTTGCGGAAGCATGGACGATGCCAACATCTGATGAGTCGGCGTTGGGAGTTTTCTAGAGATAGGTTTTGTGTAAGATTTATGGTCCTCTGCGCATTGGCAGCCGCGAATATCGCAGACGATGGAATGATGAGCTGTATGAGATATACGGTGACATCGACATAGTTCAGCAAATCAAGAAACAGCGGCTGCGCTGGCTAGGTCATGTGGTCCAGATGGATATTAATATTCCACCGCTGAAAGTTTCGTTGAGGTAGAGGAAGAGGAAAACCTCCACTCCGTTGGAAAGATCAGGCAGAGAGGGAACTGGCTCTACTCGGTATATCCAATTGGCGCTAGGCAACGATAAAAAGGAATGAACGGCGCGATGTTATAAATTCGGCTAAAGTCGTGTAAGCGGTGTCTTCGCCAGTAAAGTAAGTAAACAATAGTCCTTTGGATATTTATGCGGGAAATCCCCCTTTTCCACCCTACACATATCTATCCGGCTCGAAGAACCACGTTTACGCGAATGTCCCTTCGTAAGCCTTCCGAAATTAAGCCACTCGCGTATTCGATTTAATTTTACAATGTTTTATGTATGATTAATTAATACAATATTTAAAAATAACGCTTTTTGTATAACTGTTTGTTTGAATTGCTTACAAAATATGTATGTAGATGATAGTATAGTTTATTTAATTTAAATCTCGTTGATCGTTTCGTGTTTACGGCTTTTATACGCAAAAACCACAATAGGGTATGTACAAAAGATTTTTGGTTAGGGTTGGCCCATGTTAAACGCACGTTTTAACACCTACAAAGCAATTGGCCGGAAATCTTCTGATGTCACCTGAGCATCACTTGCACAGTGAAGCAATTGCTATTGGAACGCTACCGCAGGGTGCAGGTTGAACTCTTACTTATCCAGGCTCGACGCCAACATGACCCTCCCCCTGAAATCAACGCATCTAAATTCCCTCTCCCTCTGGGCCGAACCCGTCGAAATAGCTTGTTTCCTGGATCTCTCGTTTGATGACCTCGGTGACTAGACTAACTAGCCTGTCCCTTAGCGGGGCTAGTGAACTGCTACAGTAACAGCAGCAACAACAAAGACGACAACAACAACAAAACATAGAAACTGAAGTACATTACTTCTCCACAGAAGTCGGCTGTGGTTGCTATCAAAGAACTACCTGAGAAAGGAAGGCTTCACATTAGCTGGGTACCAGGGCATATGGGTATCGAAGATATAGGTGATAAACTTACTAAACAGTAAATAACCATGACCGAGAACTGTTAATTTTATTTAGAGAAGTAAAACACTCTAGCTGCAGAATCACGGAAATTTTGTGAAAAAGGTGTATCGCTAAGCTCACTAAGTTCTTACTTACAAAAAAGAGACCAAACTTCAGGCTGCTAATAGAACTTCTAATGGGGCATCACATGTTCACTTCACGTGCTTCCAATTGGCATAGGCCTAGTAGAAGACAACATGTGCAGAAAAGGCTATTAATGAGCGAAAAGAGTTTAGCACGTAGTCTGTGAGTGTGCTTCATTCGACATCTGTCTATCTTATTTTACTTAGCGTAGCAGCGCTGCAGGACATTTAATACTGAATGTGTAAAGAGCCAAAGAAACCTGAGTTATTTCGTTTAACCTCACAAAATTTTAGATCATGAGAAAATTTAGATAGGCTGAGATGTGCCTTTGGTGATTTTAATTTAGCATAAAATAAATTACGATATCACAATTTATTTCGATTTCAGAGCTGATGACGTTTATGTTCACAACGCAGCAGCAGATGACCTTTACGAACATAACTGAACAATAATCATAAGCATACCATAGATTTCTGGTAAATAATATGATAAATTACGGCTTGTCCTGATTACACCCCTCAGCTGAAAATGTCAGATCCTACGAGTGCATTTCTAGTTTTGACATAAAATTAAAGCTCCTCATAAAAATCCATCGGTTGTTCGTTGAAAATGCATAAGCAGGCCTATTCTGTCGAGGTAACAATATTTACTTTGGTATTAAAATTTACCATTCAGTAAATTTTGTGAGTATTTCGTATTCTGAGCTCACTGTCACCCTGTAAATTTTGTTACCAGCGAAATAGAAGGTAACAAAAATATCTGCTGTTTGATTTTTCGTAGTTAGTTTAAGGAAAAATAAAAAACCAAAATGGGTAGGCATATTTTAGGCCTGGAATTCATTGAAGATTAAGAAAAAAGTGAAAAACCCCGTATTTTAAGTAGCTTTCGAGACTAAAAAATAGCTCTTTAATTTGTAAACTAAAGACTTCGTTCAGTTTTTTTGTTGTCCAGGCATATTTTTCATAATTAGGTTCAAATATTTATGATTTAATAAACAAAATACTAAAACTTTTTAATTTTTTTGTGCACCGTCTTCCATTTCTATGTAAATATTTTTCTTTTTACTTTATCAACTGGCAAATGTAATTTGACATGGACGAAAAAAACAGTGCTGCCAAATTTTTTTCAAACATTGTAATCAGTTCGCCAGAATAGCAAATTCAATTTCGGGTGTTAAAGAAAAGTAACAAAATTTACTTTACCGGTAACAGTGAGAATAGGCCTGAAAGGCGCACACCACAAGTTGAAGGAGGAACTCGTCCAAAAATCACTTCAATAATAATAACTCGCTCAAAAACTCCTTAAATTCAGCATAAATCTGCTAAAATCTGCTTCTACTTGTACTTGCAAATTTTATCGGCCATGCCTTTTGTGAAAGGTATAAAATAAAAGGCAGTGATTTTTATATTAAAAAAATATTAATTCATTCTCCCTTAAGAGCACGTAATGCGGAGCAAATTTCGATTGGCTTCTTACGATCGCATTCGCTATACATTGATCAGTGCTTGCTCAAAGCTGGAACCGGTAACAACTTATGTACGAACGCGAATATTTCAGTTTATTGTTACGTGAAGAGCAACCGACTATTTTATTTAAATTGTTTTGCGTATATTTATAGTGTGCGGTGATTGGCATTTGTTAAGAAATCTTAGAAATTAAATTGAGCAATTAACAGGTACATACATATTCATGTGCAAACTGGCGTCGCGTGTAGTTTTTTAAAAGTTTATTTGTGAAGATAGTGTATAATAAACACATGCATATGTACATATGTACTTGGTTATGATATTATGTCTTATATGCATACATAACATATGTTTTTCTGCTTATATTTATATACATATAATATGAGGAGCGCATATGCACATGTATGTAAATGCATATATAAATACCGACAAAACTTCGTATTTATGTATTTTTTTTTATGTGCATATTAATGGTTAAATTAATATTTTAAAAGATGGCATAGTTTTCTCATTCTCATACATAAAAAAAAAGAAAAAAAAGACCCGAAATACAATCACTTATTTACATAAATACATAACAGGCGTTGCCGACATGTTTATTAATATATTTTGCACATTGTATGGAGTTTAGAGGTTTCAAATATCGCTGAACTTAGATAATGGAGTAGTTTAGAAAATTATATTCGTCCAAAGTTCAAAGTTTTCTAAGATACAAGCGTAATTATATTCATCCGGACTTGGAAAGTTTATGGCAATACTTTCCATATATATATATGTAGGTATATATATATATGTATAAGGTATACACACCTGTTGAAAATTGTTGACAACAATGTCTTATTGCCAATTTAAGAACTGTACATATGTATGTAGGTATATTATATTTCTTTGAAATTCTATACATTTTCGGTGATCGCATTAAAATTTAAAACATTCATGATTTTCGCTTTCAATGTTTTTTTTTTTAATTTTGCAAATTACTAAAGCAAATTTTTTACCACAAGAAAAGTCAAATATTGATTATCGAAAATTTAACGTGAGAATGATAAGAAGAAATGATATTCAATTGATAAGACAGTGAATTTTCTAAAAATGTTTATTTTCTATGTTAGCACTACAAATTCAAGGGGCACACCTAGTGTAATGGCTTAAAAAAAAGGTGTTTTTTTGGGAATTTTTATTAAAAAAAACACATTATCAATTATTTCAAAATTTTAAGAATATATTTATACATGTTTCAAAAATATACAGTGAAATTTTTGAAGAAAAAAATTAAATATTTTTTGAGTTATAGTCGATCTCCAACTGCCGGCCTTCTCTGTGTATGAAATCTAAAAAGGAAAAATTCTATTCTAAATTCTATTGTCTGTACAATGACCTACAATAAAAAACAAATCAAAAATAGACAAAATGGCGGCGTTTTAAAAAAGTCGAATTTTACCCAAAATTTTGGTCGTTTTTAGCCTGCCAAAATTCGATTTTTTGATCGGCTCAAAAATCGATAGGTCATTGTACGGAGGACTATATATAGAGCATGTAAAAAAATTCGACAGTGATCGGATCATTTGTTTTTGAGTAAGCAAAATCGGATAAAGCTGTTTCGAGAAAAACGCGTTTAAAGATAAAATGATCGTTTTCACTCGTAGCTAATGAGACTCTCTAGCTGCCGAGCGGCTGCTCTTTAAATTGCTATAACTCAAAAACTATTTGAGATATCGATTTGAAATTTTAATATGTTATTTTTAAAGGTGTAATTTACCCAAATATGAAAAAAGATCGATTTTTGTTTAAATTTCACACTAACAGGTCTATTCTGTCAAGGTAACAAAATTTACCTAGGTATTGAAATTTACCATTCAGAAAATTTTGTTACCATTTCGTATTCTGAGCTCACTGTTACCCTGTAAATTTTGTTACCAGCGAAATAGGAGGTAACAAAAATATCTGCTGCTTGATTTTGTGTTGTAAGTTTGAGAAAAAATAAAAAACCAAAGTGGGTAGGCATATTTTCCATAATTAGGTTCAAATATTTATGATTTAATAAACAAATTAATAAAACTTTTTAATTTTTTTGTGCACCGTCTTCCATTTTGATGTGAATATTTTTCTATTTAACTTTACCAACTGGCAAATGTAATTTGACATGGACGAAAAAAGCAGTGCTGCCAAATTTTTTTCAAACATTGTAACCAGTTCGCCAGAATACCAAATTAAATTTTGGGTGTTATAGAAAAGTAACAAAATTTACTTTACTGGTAACAGTGAGAATAGGCCTGTAGGTGTGCTCCTTAAAAACATTTCAGATTGACCAAAATAATTATGAAAAAGGTGAAGGGATGTTCTCTGCACAATGATATTAGTCCTAGCAGTGAGCTGATAGGCAGTAAAAATTGTTAACAATCGCGCTCGGTGAGGTAAAATTTGCACCGAGGGTGCACAATCTTGGCATTTCCTTACTGGTAAATTCTTAATGATATTTCCCACCGAAAAGAGCTATGAGATATGCGGTTACGAGCTACAAAAAAAAATATATTTTGATTTACATGATGTTTAATTAGAGCTCTTTTGTCTATTTATAATTTCTATTTTTGCATCGCTGTATAATTAAAGCATAGCAGACTAAAGTGAAAAAACTTTCTGAATACGTTTACCTTCTTAAAAAGTTGCTGTATACTATTACTGAAACTTGTCAAAAATTCTTGACGACTCCTACGCTTGTAAAAAAAAGTTTTAATATTTAATCAATCAAAACCGTCCCTCCATATACGAGGTGTGTTCAAACAGTATAGCGAATTTTGAATTTTTGCGGGTTACATATAATCGAATTTCGATTTTTTTGTGGCGTTATGTTGGTACTCACGTCTGTCACTTATGCCGACAAGCTCGAACATTTGAATGTTGACAGTGCGCGGATGCATTCCGAATGTTGGCTGTGGCCTACGGAGAAGCTACCTTGGACCGAAGCAACGTTTATCGGTGGTACAAAATGTTCTCAGAAGGCCGAGAAGATGTGAACGAGGAAGAGCGGGCCGAACGCCCGAGCACTTCAACAACAGACGAAAAAATTAATTGCAGGGGCGTGGTGCATCATGAGTTCTTGCCACAGGCTAGAACGGTCAATAAGGAATATTACCTGCAAGTTATGCGCAATTTACAATCCGCCGGATTTGTGGAAGAACAAAAATTGGCTTTTGCACCACGATAACGCCCCTGCTCACACATCGTTGCTTGTGCGCGACTTTTTGGCCAAAAACAACACACTAATGATGCCACAGCCACTGTATTCCCCAGATCTGGCCCCCTGTGACTTTTTCTTGTTCTCCAAACTGAAGAGGCCCATGAAAGGACGACGACGATTGACGCGATAAAGACGGCATCGAAGGAGGAGCTGAACAAGAAAAAAAATTATTTTTTGAAGTGCTTCGAAGATTGGAAAAACCGTTGGCACAAGTGTATAATATCTCATGGGAATTACTTTAAAGGTTACAAAATAGATATTCATGAATAAATAAAAAAATTTAAAAAAAAACACAAAATTTGCGATATTTTTTGAACACACCTCGTATATACATAGTAGTTGTTGTATTACTAATGTTTTGTTCAAACCAACCCAGCCCTTGCTAACTTACTTCATTTAAATATATTGTAAATTCTGAATTTTTATGAGTGTTTAAATAACATACACTAGGAACAGTATTACAATATAACGATATCAATAGCTGTGTTCGTTAAGAAATTTCACTAAAAATTGTCGGTAACGAAATTGAGACGGTAAGATGGCTTAATCTCCCAAAGAAAGAAATTTATCGAGTTTTCACCGAACAGGGTTCAGTAAACTTTAGCCAGCTTCCGGATGCTTTAGAATGCAATATAGTCACTGTGACCTTAGTTACAAAATTGTTACTCTTTTTTTATGTACGACGGACCTAGCATTACCCACCTCCCGCCCAACCGACCAAGGGGCGAGGCTGAGGTAATTTGAAAAATCCAACAGACCGGTGCCCGAAAACCAGGAACAGTCCGTACTGCCCTGAACCCGAAACCGATCGTGGAAGGTCGCGGTTACACTTGCCTCTTACACTATACAGCTACAGATTTGTTCATTAGCTGCTATCGAATTGCAAGGGGAAAAGAAGAGGGAATTTATTTAATTATATAAAACACTTAGTAAGTAGATTTTGATACAGAAAAGCGAGTCAAAGGAATCAATGTTAGGGAAAAGTGTATTAAAATCGTTACACAAAGATCTAAAAGGGCCACGCATTTCAAAGTTTGTTCTCCACGAGCCCAATGAAAGGGGCCTAAAGTGTCTAGAGGATCTTAAAGGGATAGTAAAGTTAAGCTCGCTAATTTGGAAAGAGCTATTGATAGCACCTATTATCAATTTAGTTAAAAATAAAACTCCAAGCATCTTTCTACGACTATGGAGTATAGGCAGATCCATGAGCCGTAAACGACTTTTGTAAGAAGGCAGTTTATTGTTGGCATCCCAGTTTAAATTTCTTAAGGCGATTAATAGGAATTGCTTTTGTACAGATTCCAATTTATCACTATACAATTGATAGCACGGACTCCATACGACTGAGCCATATTCCAAGCAAGTGAGGTAAAGAGTAATTTGATAATGTATGGGTCCTTGATTTCCTTAGCCCAACGTTTCATGAAAGCTAAAACTCCTTTCTGACTTATTAGCACAAGCATTTACATGATTCCGAGCATCGATCTGACATTAAATAAAAGCTCCTCTTACAAATCCAACGGCCGTTCGAAAATGTCTTAGAATAAACTGAAGGTGCCACCTTTTGTTAGAAAAAACTTCCAGACGCACATCACAAATTGGGGAAGGAACTCAGTTGAATATCGCTTCAGCGCTAATTATACACATGAATATACATATATACACCCATATACTTTTAAACAAAATACGTTTAGTCATGCTAGTCTACTTATTTTAGAATCTCTTATCATAATTTGGCTAACCTAAAGCGGCATTAATTCATTTATTTTTATTTTCACAAACTTTTGCTTCTGTTTATATGCGACATACTTATGAATACGATTATATAAGAGTATATACACTATCAGTGATTGATAAAATAAATATGAATGATGTGTATTGTAAAACTTTAGAATATATAGAGAGCCACCGGATGTTGTTGATGTGACCGAATTGATCCGAGCCGAATTTATATCAATTTTGGCCAAAACCGAATCAAACACTTTCAGAGCTTTTGAAAGAAAATACATTTTTCTCTAGTTCCATAATTGGAGAAGTTCTTCCATCTTATTATACACGTTCAAACTAAACAATTAAACAATACTTCAAGTTCGTTCTTAGTTTCGGGTCATAATTTTGTACAGGAGATATGCAGATGTATGAAATAAATATATTCAGCGATTAAATATTTTAAGAAAAAATACTTTAATTTATTATTTGAAGCCGAGTTTTCATAAAACTTATCTATTCGAATATTTTCTTTTGTTTGAAAAAATATAGTAATTTTATTTGATTACGAATACGATTTGTATTAAGATTTTAGTGTGAAAACTCTTGCTGAGAATGAACGTATCATTCATTCTTTGGTTTTATTTCTATAATCATGGCTGCAGTTTAGTTGATTGTTTTGAAATGATTAGTTACTAATATTTTTTTTAACTTCTTATATTGGGTTGCCCAAAAAGTAATTGTGGATTTTTCATATAGTCGGCGTTGACAAATTTTTTCACACGGCTTGTGACTCTGTAATTGCATTCTTTCTTCTTCTGTCAGTTATCAGTTATCAGCTGTTACTTTTAGCTTGCTTTAGAAAAAAATTGCGCGAAATTTTGTTTACATTTGTTTGTTTGGCGTCAATTTTAATATGGAGCCCACAAAGGAGCATTTTCGTCATATTTTACTTTATTATTTCCGTAAAGGAAAAAACGCGGAGCAGGTTGCTAAAAAGTTACGAGATGTGTATGGTGATGAAGCCTTAAAAGGAAGACAGTGTCAAAATTGGTTTCGCAAATTCCGTTCTGGAGATTTTTCACTTAAAGATGAGCCAC